TATAAAAATTCTTGATTTTGTTTAGATTTTTTTGACATTTCTTTGAGGTATTCACTCAGACACACCAGCTAAAAATAGGTTGGCTTACCCAGTGTACCCAAGTCTGATGCTGCCCATATTTGATATTTCATCTTCATTACAATCTGCTGAGAGGAAGTCGAAACTGCCCAGCACTTCCTCTTCCTCTACTGCTAGTGTCTGAGATGAGGGCATCTGTGGAGGGTCGAGGTCCTTCTAACATCGGGAAATATGAAAATGAAGAGCAAAGCCAATGAAACAACAGCAAACAAACACTTATCAACAATGCAGAGAGAAAAACAGAGCAACTTCGTTACATGCAAACATGTTCAAGTCCATTTTAACCATCCTTCAAGCCTTTAACAAATTGTTTCTTTATTTAGATTCTGGGGTGAAAAACATCCCAGACATGTTCTTGAACTCTTTCAAACAGTGATCGTTCATTTCTTTTATGCATCCATTTATAAATCTTTTAAATGAGTCTACCAGTCCATTGATGCATCTATCCATCCATCCACCTCACCTTCAAGACCTCGTTCAGCTGGCGTATCTGCAGATCTAGCTTCTTTAATGTCTCTGCGTTGCTCATTTCCTCCAGCTCTGTATTCAGATCATCTAGCAGTGAACTCACTCTCTTAGCCACAGCTCTCTTCTGTGCTCTGCCCGCTTTGCTGTCCTTCACCAGGAGTCTGTCTTCAATTCCCTGCTTGAACAAGGTCTCCTCTTCAGGGGCCTCATCCGGGGCCGTCGTCTCTGTGCTGGGGGTCGCCTCTCCATTTTGCTTGAGGATGTCAGGCGTGCTGTAGCGGTGGAAGAGGAATATGGAGTCTCGCTTGCTGCCCGCAGGACTGGGGGAAGCTGTGTCAGTCTCTGATGGCCATTCCACACTCTCCTCAGCCTAGGGTTATGAATGGAGAGAAATCATATAAGCCTGCAATTTGAAGTCATTTATGAGTATTTTTGCAATTTTATATTTTTGAAAAATATAAAAAATCTTAGCATATGGTTTCTTAACATATAAAAAAGATTAATATACTACCAAATACATAATGAAAAATACATAATTACTTAATTTTATTATAAAAGTGGATTCTGCTTTCAGTAATAAAAACATAAAATAATATACTAAAATTATATAATTTATTATTATGCGTTTTAATTTTTTTATGTTTAAAATATTTATATTTAAAAGAAACCCCACAGCAGTTAAACTCTTAAATGATGGTTTTATTCAATTCAATTATATAAAAATTATATAAAAATGTGAAATGTAAATAATTTTTATTTTTTAATAAAAGTGGTCATTACTTTTAAATAATAAAAATATTCAAATTTCTATTTCTATTCTATAGTCAAATATATATATATATATATATATATATATATATATATAAACATTGTATTATGTATGACATTATATATAATTCACACTTATTATTATCAGAGTATAGTTTAAATATTTGTATTTAAAAAAATTATATTTAAAAAAGGAAAAAATGTTTTATTGATTCTTCATATTAAAATATATAAAATACAATATATAAAATATAATTTATATAATTATAAATATTACAATATAATTACATTTAAATAAAAAACAAATAAATGCAAAAAAAAAAGTACAATCATTGTTTTCTGTTTTTACCTTTAAATCAGCTACTTCTGTTAATAATAAAGATGCAAACTAAAATTTTATTATTATTATGTATTTTAAACTTTTATATTTTTTATATTTATATTAAATCCCACTTAATATAAAACTGAATATATCTAAAAAAAAAAAAAAAAAAAAAAAAAATTGTTTTTAACTCATTAAAATTTTCATTAGGTTCATTATAATGAAACATTTTCAAGGCAGACCTGAACATAGGCGACATACGGTAACAGGATCTCTCGATTTCAGTGAAACCACAAAATGAAATGCAACCAAATACACCACTGACATACATCTACTGACAAACAGATGAAATTTTAATTAGCATATTTAAAAATAATTTAAACCTCTTTTGAGCCACATCGACTCAGGAGACTGAAATCGGCCCTGGCTGGCAGAGATTCAAACCTGCAACTGCATGTTAAAATGAGATCCGATCCGCAGCCTGAAATAATCAGAGGCACCGCTGTGCCATTGCTTTGATGAGACCTATAATGATGAGGTGCGTCTGTCTGCCTGACATCCCTGATAAAGACACTGAACAAGTGAGTATCACTAAATTACTCTCTTTTTAATCAAATACAGACACAGGATTTCATGCAGATACACAAAATTAAAGACAGAAATGAATCACAGGATGTGCGAGACAAAGTCAATATTTTGAAAAATGTGTCCGTGTTTTTTTTTTCCTCGTACAATAAAATTCAAAGGGGTTCCCTGTTGTTCTGGATCTATAACAGTTAGAAAGAAAGAAAGACAGAAAGAAAGAAAGAAAGAGAAAGAAAGAAAGAAAGAAAGAAAGAAAGAAAGAAAGAAAGAAAGAAAGAAAGAAAGAAAGAAAGAAAGAAAGAAAGAAAGAAAGAAAGAAAGAAAGAAAGAAAGAAAGAAAGAAAGAAAGAAAGAAAGAAAGAAAGAAAGAAAAATTAATTTCGAAAGATCGAAAGAAATAAGTAAATAAAAAGCGTATGAAAGTAAGCAAATAGTAAATGAGCAAATATATAAGCAAATAAATAAAAAATATACCAAATATAAACATAAAATATGAACAAATAAAGAAAATAGCAAATAAATGTGACCCTGGAGCACAAAAGCAGTCTTAAGTCGCTGGGGTACATTTGTAGCAATAGCCAAAAGTACATTGTATGGGTCAAAATTATAGATTTTTCTTTTATGCCAAAAAATCATTAGGATATTAAGTAAAGATCATGTTCCATGAAGATATTTTGTAAATGTCCTATGGTAAATATATAAAAACTTAATTTTTGATTAGTAATATGCATTGCTAAGGACTTCATTTGGACAACTTTAAAGGCGATTTTCTCAATATTTAGATTTTTTTGCACCCTCAGATTCCAGATTTTCAAATAGTTGTATCTCATCCAAATATTGTCCTATCCTAACCATACATCAATGGAAAGCTTATTCAGCTTTCAGATGATCTATAAATCTCAATTTCAAAAAATGGACCCTTATGACTGGTTTTGTGGTCCAGGGTCACAAATAAATAAACAACTAAATATGCAAATAAATAAAAGAAAATTAAGCAAATAAAAGTAAATAAGCAAATAAGAAAATCTAAATAAGCAAATAAATGTGCAAATAAGCAAAAGAAAATAAAGCAAATAAATTTGACATATGCAGAATCAGATTTGAACAGATTTCAAAATTTGAAACGTATATAATTTATATTCTACTGTACATAACTTGTGCCACTGAATTAGACCGTCCCTTTTCTCCTAACTCCGCCTTCCACAGACACTTCAATGTCACCAAACCCTGTCACTCACAATGATTGACAGGCAAAGAGCGCAGCACAGTCTAAACAGCATCCCACAGTCAGATTTCCAGCTATTTACAGAGCCTCAGGCAGTGACAGAGACAGCAGGGACATCTCAGGATGCCTATTTCAGTCATTTTATCAACGTTATTCCGTTTTAAAAACTTTAAGACATGCCAAGCACCAACTGCGAGTGAAAAATAGCTCTGGTGAGTAAATAAAACTTGCTGACCAGCTGGCTAGTCATGCACAGCCAGACTTCTAACTAAAGGCAGAAACTAAAATAACTATTTTCTTTTCGAATATATTCTAAAATGCAATTATTTCTTTGTGATGCAAAGCTGAATTTTCAGTATCATTACTCCAGTCTTCAGTGTCACATGATCCTTTAGAAATCATTTTAATATGCTGACCACAATGTTCGCAAATGGTCACAGAAAACACTAAAGAAATCTGACTTTTTCACAGTCACAAAAAGCAGGATATACCCTTCTGTTCATGAAATCATCTCAAAACTGTCTTTGAAAGGCAAAATCCCCCTGTGCACCTGTGGAAGATTGTCATCCGGGGATCTGATTGGGGCTTTTCACAAGCGCTTTCTAGTTTTCTGTGCAATATAGATCAGACGAGACTGTGGGCGGTTCGTGGGCATGCGATCCGAGGCTGAGAGTAGCTGGCTACTAATGTTTTTAGGAATTGCAACATAATATATGGTTCAAATTGCAACAGTAGAACAATAGTCTAAGCATTGCTGTTTTTTATCAGACGAGAGTGAGTCAAATCAAAGCGATGCACGAGGTCTACAAAAGCTTAGTGTCTGTCAGCTGCGTCTAATGCATCTTTATGGGCTTTTTGCCTTTATGAGACAGAATAGTAGAGATGGAACAGGAAAATATATAGAGAAGAAAACTATTGTAGCAAATTGACATTTCAGTGAGGCACTGGTTAGTATGTGATGCAATAATCTGCATTGTTTGCCAGAAGTATGCAAGAAGAGAACACACACAAATTAAAGATGTGTACAACTGCATATTGTCATATTTGTCTATTTGTAATGTATAATTCAGCTGGTTTTGGGTTCACCTGACCCTGATCACACACACACATGCATCACAACAGTCAAATACATTCATCCAGCTCATCTCTGCATAGAAAATCAATTGGAAAACAATGCAAAAAGGAAGTTGCAAACATTTCTATGAGGTTTTCACTGTAATTACTTGAAGCAAATACAGTTTCAAGAATTATTAGAAATATATTTAATTTTTATGGCTAGTAAATTAATCTGTTAATTTTGGAAGTTTTAAAAAAATACTAAAATCTGTTTGGTTTGGTCACATGCATGATGTTTTGTTTGTGTTGTTTTTGTTTTTTTTTAAATGGCAAACTATAAATATTAGATGAAAAACATCATTCGGATAGCAGGAAGCATTTCTAGTTTTCATTCAAAAATTACTAAAACTGAAATGAAAACAAATTAAAGCATAAAATGAAAACTGAAAAGGAAACATTTCTAATTTTCATTTAAGTACTAAAATGACTAA